GCGAGACTACTAAACAACCATTTTTGCTTCAGCCACTAAAAAGTTTAAAGTTTGGGATTTAAACTTAGTGGCTTTGCTGTAATGTACTGCATTAATAAAAACAGATTTGGTGAAAACTGTGTGAAAAAGGCTAAAGATCCTCATCATTAGATTAAACAGAGCCGTCAGCCGTACACAGTCTGTAAAAACATGAAAAACACTCTCAGACAAACTGCAAAAAGAACACTCATTTAAAACATTAGGACTGATGACCGACAAAAAAGAGTTTGTTGCAATGGCGCCGTGAAGGGTCCTCCATTGAAGATTGCCAGTCTGTTTTTTTGTCGGAGGTTTGTAAAAAGTCCTCCACTGGGGCTTCTGACCTCCAAGCTTGTCGTTCCACATGCTGACAGCTCTGTTGTGCACAGTTCTCTTGTTCAGGATCTTAACATAAGTCTTATAAAGTACTTTTGTACCCGTTCTGCACAAGTCTATCTTTGGGTCTGTGTTGCGTAGCAGAGGACCACTGTCTCTTGCAAAGTTAGGATCCAGGTGTATGTCCGGGAAAGGGTTCATTGGGTCAGGCGGGTGATCTGCCGTGGACCACAGCTGCAGGAGACGCTTTTCTCCAGCTGTCATCCTCTCCTTCACCAGGTCCAGGAAGCACTGCACTAGTCTGGCAGACCGGACCCCAAGCAACAAAACCACCTCCCGGACGCTGGAGAAGTCAGGTCCGGCCGTCTCCACCAACCGCCTCAGGGTCACCGTCCCAGATTCGCACAGTGCCTTTGACAGACCCGGCACCGTGCTATTACAGACGTCCATTCTCACTTCACAGACTCAGAGTCAGAGATTCTTTATTGTCATTCACACCACATGTGGTACATGTGGTGAAACGAAATTATGTACACAGGGTCCCAGTTACATTATAATTGGCTTTTATGTATGTGAATATTCCTGTAAAGTGCCCTGAGACAACTTTGTTGTGATTTGGCGCTATATAAATAAACTGAATTGAATTGAATCCAACATTAAAATGTAAAAAAAATAAAAACAATGATAACATCTAAGATATGAACTAAGAAAAACATCAACTAAAAATAGCACTAATAGCTTAAAAACATTACGTCGAACAGCAGCACGAACATGAGTCTGTGTGAGCAGATGAGCTTGCATGAACACAGCAACAATGAAACAGATCAGCAGCAACATGAAACAGATCAGCAGCAACATGAAACAGATCAGCAGCAACATGATGTGATTTTTCACAGTGATTTTTCTGGTTAGAGATTCATGAGTCTAACAGCCTCAGGGTAGAAGCTGTTCCTCAGTCTAGTGGTTCTACACTTAATGCTCCTCAACCTCCTTCCTGAGGGGAGTGGGACAAAAAGTGTGTGTGCTGGGTGAGTGGGGTCCTTCATGATGCAGGTGGCTCTCTTCCTGCATCTGGAGATGTAGATGTCTGTGATGGTGGGGAGACTGACTCCAACAGACTTCTGTGCAGCCTTCACCACTCTCTGCCAGACTAGTGGTTCCTCTAAGAGCCACTGCAGAGAATTATACGTTTTTGATCTGTTTGATTAAAAAAAAAAAAAAACACTTTGAAAACACTCTGATAAAACTGGGGCAACCCCTTTAGCTTTAAAAGGCCAACAGTGGTTAGAAGAAGATAAACAAGAAGAAGAAGAAAAGCATATTTTCTGATTGTAACAGAAAACACAACTGGTTGATGAAAACAAACACATCATAGATAAAAGTCAAATAAATCTAGGTCAAAACATTTTAATTTTTTAAAATAAAACGTCGACATTTAAAAATTGCCTTTAATTGAAGCCAGTTTTGGGGCAGCCTGGTAGAGCCGCTGCCTCTCAGCGAGCAGGTTACCCTGGTTCAAATCCTGGTCCGGGGACATTTCTGGGTGGAGTTTGCATGTTCTCTCCGTGCAAGCGCGGGTTTTCTCCCACAGCCCAAAAACATGCATGTTAGGCTGATTGGTAACTCTGAATTGTACCTAGGTGTGAGTGAGAGAGTGAATGGTTGTTTGTCTCATTTGTCTCTCTGTGATGGACTAGAGACCATGTCCCCCACCTCTTGCACAGTGAAGGCTGAACATGGGCACCAGTGACCCCCGCGGCCCAAGAAGGGAGAAGCGGGTAAAGCTAATGGATGGATGGATGAATCCATTAGGTATTTGAATTAACTCTCTAAACAGCCCTTCTAGAATCAAAAATAGAAGTACTTTGGACAAAAATGACAAAAATTATATATTTTTTAATCATTTTGGAATAATTGAAACGTCAACAGAGAGCTGTGGAGACTAAAAACAATACTGCAAGAATGGCTCAATTGAAAAATATGCCCTAATATGAATTGTATCACAATCTTGACTGAACTGATTCATTTTCCCAACTCAAATATTCAAATATAATGTACTCAAAGTTAGAAATAAAATGAGGGCAAGAACCTGTGTGTTTTCTGAGAGAAGCTGCCATGTTTTCTGCAGAGCCACCGAGTTCTTTCACACAAAAACATTTTTAAAAAACCCAGAGCTTTTTGACTGAGACTCAGAACAAAGTGTTTGTAGTAAAAGTTCATGAACCCCAGAACATTCTCTGCTGTTCTGCAGCAAGGAAGTATCTGGATTGTCTTGACGAGCTGGTTCCTGAAATAATGGGCTTCTAACAATAAACTCAGAAATCTCTGCAATACAAAACACACACAAATAAAACACACCTGCATGACTGAATACAACTCATACATTTTAATAACTCAGAGGCTGAACATAAAAAATGACCAGTTTCAGTGTAATCAGCTAACAGAGGAACGTGCTGCTGTGAGGTTTTCTTTGAGAAGATTTATCTTGTTTCAAGGCTTGAATGGCCTGGATGACGGCTTTCACACACTCCCAAAGACAACAGAACACAAGGAACAAAGATAAGACTTGTTGATGCTGTCACTGCTGCTCAGGAATCTATGTGAGGCAACACCACCCTCTACAGGTTCATACACATAATCTTAAATACATCACAGTAATCCTGAGTGCAGGGCCGAGCCCAGGTCGCATCAGAAAGGGCATTCAGTGTAAAACAAGAGCCACATATTTTATGAGAAGGGAACAGCTAAAAGTAACTTGCTTACATCCACGTATTGTGCTTTTATGCACATTATATCCAGCTATCAAAAATCTTAATACATATCTTCTGTGTTTTCCATGATTTTGTTAATTTACCTTTTGGCAGGTCAAGCTGTCTTTAAAAAAAAACATTTTTATTTTTTCTACATTACATTTACATTTTTAGCTCTTTTATTTTACTTTTTACATCTGCATAAATATAACTGAAACTCTGCAATCATATATATACATATAT